CCCAAGCAGGATTTCCTAAGCAATCCTCTAGAATCCACTAGAATGACCACTAGCCTGACTTAATTATTAGGAGTTCTGTCGCAATTGGGTCAACTCAAATTAAGCAAATCCGCCAAAACTCCTAATAATTATGTCAGCTTAGTGTCATTCTAGTGGATTCTAGAGGATTGCTTAGGAAATCCTGCTTGGGCAGTCAGCTTGCTGTTCCGTATTGGTTGATTCCATACGAGCGGTAAAGTTGGGTGGGTAATATCGAGCCAAGTGTGATTAAATTCATGGCGGGAGGTAGGGCGTTTGTAGCTTAATGGTAGGAATGTGGATAAGAATGTGTGCGTTGTTTGAGTGATTATTGATTTCACTGATTGTCCTAAAACTTTCTGTTTCAGCTTGTAAGGAGTATCTAGGGCTAGGTGCATCTTCCTTAAAGCCAAACAAAACGCAGGTGGTGTTAAAGATATCCAAATTTTAATAAACTTTACAACACAGATGTACTCCTTTTCTTCAAGAACTGAGCATATTCAGGGGCTTATTTCCTGTAAAGGATTTATGCTAAGTTTATCATTTTGCAAGGAAAGTCTGAAGAAAATACCCGTGCTGTTTAAATAAAGATAATTTCCGAGTGAAATTTGCAGAATTATTCGGAAATATGCTTCACAAAAGTTAAAAAACTAAAAATAATTACTTGAAGTGGATTCCATGCTTATCAATTTTCCAACCTTATTCGATGGCTGTTTTTTGCTCTTAAACATAGAAAGATTCTGGTCAGCGCTTCATAAGGTTGCGTGGAACGAAATTACCCAAACAGACATGAGGCATCCATTACTAATGCAGTACAGTCGCTATTTCATGCGAAATGTCAATATTTTTGAAAGATTGATAATCACTTGCAAAACGACTTTGAGTAGCGTTGTTATACGGATTATTATGCACTTCAATTAAAAGTAATTTCAGTCACATCAAGATACTGGCTTTTAAAAGAGCTTCTTAGTGACCGCATGCGAGAAGTATATTCTGTAAAATGGATGACTACCGATGTAGTGTGCCTTTTAATTCATTGATTTTCACTACCCCTATAAACATATTGTAAAGAAAACCTTTACAAAATTATTCTTTCTGTTACTTGTTTGGTGCGAAATCACACCTCCTTAACACCTTTTACTCAAAGGAAAACTGATGACGGCTAATAAGCCAGAAAAGGCCATTCCGATCTCCTTTTGCTTTGACGGATCCACTTCTTCATCATATCACCTTTGTCACTATGTGACGGTCATTGAAAGTTTGCGTTGCGAGCTCCTTGGCAAAGCGGAACTTAATTTTTCCTCGACTAGATCGAGGAAAAGTATATTTTGCTTTTACTAATATTTCCAATTATGAGATTTTTTACGACTGTGGAACGTTCATTCCTAATAAATCGTGTTCGTCTATTGACTAATGTTGACTATGCTATTTACATCTACATCCACATCTATTACAAAGTTTATGAGAACATTGCAACCTTTCAATCATAACGTAGAGAAATGTGTGGTTTTTCCTCGACAGGATGTACACAGTTTGGTACCCTTTAATTCAAGTGAAAAAGCCGGTAGAATTAATAATTATCCGGCAATTTTGGACGTTATTAAAACCAAAAGATGCCCTTTGTTCAAGTATGAAATATGAAGCAGGTGTAATTTGCTACCAAATATATACAAGAAAAAATAATTTTGGAAATATTTTCTATAAGGTATATTTTAATTTTACTGGAACGGTGAAAAGCAGTGCGCCAACTGCATACTCCATAAGTAGTCATTTTTTACACAATATATATATGTTAGTGGTCAGGAAGAGGGTTTTCCGCGAGCAAAATTAAAAGTGACCAGACCGGGAAAATAGCCTTAATTGTATCGGAGAAGTATGGCAATGATTGGCTGATCAGATTTCCAATCATATAGTTTCCATAGGCCTGTGATCAATGTGACGGTGCAACGGTGCAGACCAAGCATATCAGCAAGATTTCATTGGCGGTGTTTCGGCACATTCCAATGGGCGAAGCTAGTGCCTTAGGCGGTAGCGGATCCTCTAGGCAAGAGGATACAGTGGCAGGTATATTGTCTATCTATTACTTGGCGTTTACTGATTATTCGTGTCATTGTTCCTCTTCCTCTACTCAGATGCCAACTTACAATTCATGTAAATGTTATGCTATTTCGTCGTAGTCTGACGACATGCATTATGTGCTCCACAACAAGATGGTGCAGGGTCAGCGATTCGCAAAAGGGATGAGTTTTAGGTGATAGTAGACTGTTGCTGTATGTACCGCACTCTCTTCCTTTATTGTATCAATCATCCGTGATCGGTGTCACGACAGAATTCCTAAGATCGGGTTGGGGGCGGGGGCGCATTGACTGGCATAGCGAAGTCCGAAAGCAAGCGCATCAAAACAAACCAGGGTTTTAACACGACGGAAAAAAGACGGAATTCGCGCCGTGGATCTCAGTTGAAACAGCTTCCGTAGCACATGTCAGCGCTGTCTCGAAGCCTCTTTAACTTGGTCGTTAATGCGAAAACCTGCCTGCAATTGGAATCTCCTTGACCTTTCGTTTATAAAAATCGCTTTGTTTCTATGTGGTTTCCGTGATTTGTTCTTTACGCGCCAGAGAGCATTAACATTGAGGACTCCGAAGACGAAATTATCCGACTAGGGCATAAATCAAGTCAACTAGGTGACCAGGATGAAATCAGGGGGTGCTTATATTCAGAGACAGCTCAGTGCGATAGGAGAATATTACACACGTTCTCGGTTGGAAAACTCGTAATCTGATTGCTTTAGGCTTGTCGATATCTGTTAAAAATTCCGGTGAATTTTATGGCAGCAATGCGACTTTAAGATTATGTCCAGATGTCACTAAGAGTTTGCCCTGATTTTTTCGATGCTAATTTGCTGAATTCGTATTCAAAACGACTTCGCATGCGGAGGGAAAAGCGATGGTTGACACATGGGTTCAGTACAAATCTGATATTTCCTTAAAGAAGCATAATTATCAACCATCTTTGTATCGCTGCCGACATGAATATTCCGAAGTGCCCTATTGAAGTGCCCTTGTGGGAAGGAAAATAAGTGGGGGGCCAGAGTGGAAGAAATCGCTTATTCTTTAAAGAGGTAGTGGAGAATATGTAGGAGGAAGTTGACTGTCGGACCGCACGTCCAGCCGCGAGGGGGACTTTGTCCAAAGTGTGTGAGCCCGGTGTTAGTCATAGCAGTTAGGCGATTGGCCAGACCGCGGGAGGCAAACTTATGCGCGCGTATTAGTAGGCCACGCGAGACAACCATTCACGAGGAGCTCACGGCTGTCCTGAAGGGAGGTCGAGACTTTTAATCACGTGACCTCATGCGTGGTATGGCGTGGTGTGGTTTGGCATGGGAGGTCACTACAGATAGTACAAGGTATTCTTTCAGCAACGTATTTCCTGGACCTGGTTCTCATGCATTGTATCCTGGCTTCCTTCAGTTTTCAAGATCTGCGGGCTCCGAGACGTACCTACTCTTTCAGAGAGCCCAGCGAGCGGCGTACTTGCAGTGCGGCACCAAACGGTCAGTCAAACCACGCAAGCATGCAGCCAGGGGAGAAGTCTGCCGCGCAGAGCAGACGGGTAAACGGCACTGCAGCCAAACCCGAAGCTACCTCCACCCTACAACGCCGTCTGACCTACGATCCCCATTCCTCCAAGGTGATCACTAGGCCGATGAAGCAGTCGAATGACAGTAAGTTGCCCTATCAGAGAACCCCAACCCTATGACCTTTGTTAAAACGATTTCTAAACGTATTCCGGTAGAATCGGTCTGCAGAATATATCAGACCTTATTGAGCCTTAGTAATCAGTCATTAAAGCACAAGCGGGATTCAGTGTACTCGCGATTTCGACAAAGAAACGGCTGCAGTGAATTGCAAAGAGACTCCAAAAATGGGACCCGCGCCTACGTTAAAACTACAGTAGAGAATTTCGAACCTCCAAATGAAATTACGTAACAATTACGTAAGTATAAAATAAAAGGAGTTCACCTTTATTAATGAGACGCATTTCGAAAACTTTCGACACCAAAGAGTTAAGAACTAGCAAGTTAAAACATTTGTTACATGAAACATTAATCACCGGCTGACACTATTTTGAAAACCTTAATGACTTCGGCGGCTTTCGAACCTAAAGCAGTACAAACGGCAGTACAAACGGCACTTCAACGACTTAAGCCACAAGACTCCAAACGTTTTACACATCGAGATCAAGGTTTCTTACGCTGTTCGAATTCCACCGTGATGATTTCTTTCACCACTTGGTCAACTAACCTACTAAAATTAGTCTTCTTAATGTTTTAAATTGTCTGGATTTTGGAAAACAAAATCGAACTTCACATAAAAGTATGCTATACTATCACGTTTCCTCTTCTGAAATACTTCCACAACCAACCTGCACGCATTGCAAGCTACCTCGCGCTATGTGTGTTGTAACGACACAATTTTCACGATTATGAACTGACATGGCTTCCCATTGCACACAATCGCACAACTCGACCGTTTCGGTAGCGAAAACGAAATAAATGGTCAGCATCACGAATGAAGAAACCAAAACAAGCCACAGGGACTCACCCATTTCGGCAGACTACTTTCATCTTTGTGAAGCCTCGAAAAGGGGCGTTTTCCAACAAAACAGTACCGTCGTCTATGTCATACGTTTTAGCATAGTGACAATGCACACTGTCAGGGACTGCTACTAGAATGGCGGCATTTTCTTCCATTTTCTTTACGCAGTTCATGTTCAGCCCTCACGTGTAATCGAAGACACACCAAACTGTCATCCTTTTAATTTCCTTAGAAATTAAGTTCCGTACTCGGTATAGATTAGTTTATTCAAGTTCTATAGGCAAAGACCAAATATATATATCAAAGTTTGGTCTTTTCCTATAGACCATCGATATACTAAACTATAACGAGCACAAAAATTAATCAATGA